ACACCTGGCCATCTGATGATGATCGGATAACCATCTGATTTGAGTCACACATCCCCAATCACGAACCGTGATTGTGGATCCCGAGTCGTCTGTCCGTCATACGAAAATACCTTTCTGACAGCGTCAAAGATACCGGTACAGCATTAGGGTTAGAGCAGAAGTATTGGTAGTAAAAACATTCCACGTTGCCTTCCCACGCTTGCACGTAAGCATTCGTCGGCAGTTTTTCGCCGCGATGTGGTCTCGTTGTTTTCATTGTGGTCCTCTCTTTCTCCGTCAATCAAGTAGATTACAGTACCTACGAAGAGCTTCTGGACTGGATCTCATTTACCCTCAAATTCAGTTCATGCTTTCTAAAACAAACGACGCACAGCGAAGATGCCTTCTTTACCCAAACGAGCCGAACCCAGTGTTCCTTTGATCAAAATGGTTTTGGGATCACACAGGCATTGCTTGTCTGGCCAATGTTATTCCTTTTCTTGATATGGGAAATTTGTTGCAATTGTGACTGGTGTCAACAAGCACATGAACCAGGGCTACCTAGCTAGGGCCAACATCGTACCGGTACGACCGCTTGCGATTTTTTGTTTGTCACAAGATTAGTAGTTGTTATTTTTGTCTACTGCGCCGAGGGCTTGCTTTTACTTCACTCAGAATGACAAGGGGCGCTACTGGCCCCTTGTTCGAGTAGAAGGGTCACGGGCTCGCTTGCGATTCAGAGAGCAGCTCTTGTAGCGGACATTTGGAAGTGGGCTAGTGCTAATGGTTGTCATGGAATTATTATTGGACGATTCTACACGCCTTCCTACACCCTGAAGTGTCGAAGTGGGGTCGCGACCAAGATTTTTCACAACAGAAATCTTACTGGGTCCACTGGAAGCACAACCCTCTTGGGACTCAGACGTGATTTCTAGGAAACGAACTTTTAAAAAATCATGCTTATGCTGTTATGTTGTTTCGGAAGTGTCGCATCTAATGGTTTCAATTTTAATTAAAATATTGTACAGAAAACCATGCATGATGAGAAGTCTTTTCTGTGCAGCTTCAATCCGCTTTGGCTGCACAATTAATTTCTGGCTGTTGATATCGATCGATCCATTGACAAATCAGTAAAAAAATTGTGTTTGTCCAGGACTGTGTTGACACTTGATCGATCGATTGATTGGTGGGGAATCCGTGAAATGATGTCCCCGTACGTTGTTGCTTGTGGTAGTTCATTCCGCTACAAGTCATTCATCCGTCCAACTCTTTTCTCATGTACAAGAGTGCGACGCCTTGAATCATGTAAATTTTATTGGACAATTCCGTTCCCATCCACGCAAATGGCGCGTTGGGATCTTCCACCATTTCGTATCCCAAATTTTGATAGAGACGTTGTGGTACTTTTCCCGCCACCGTGTCGGCATCGCAGTGCAAATGAATTTTGGTACACCCCCAGGATCGTGCCGTACCTTCGGCCGCCGCCATTAACAGTTTGCTGTATCCCTGGGATCGAAACGCAGGATCTACCAGTAAATTGGTGATCCATCCATTAATGGGAGGTAGGTTGTGGACCAGGCAGTACGCCTGTTTGTACCAGAGAGGAAGAGGATACGCGGAAGGATTGCGGTGTGGATCCGGGGGTTGTTTGCTGAGTTCCACCATTCCCACGATTGTTTCTTTTTCGTCTGTAGATGTAGAAATAATAGTGTCCACCAAACTGAGTTCCTTGTTTTGTATGCTGTTGTTGTTGTATGTACTTTCGGATAATGATTGTTGCTGCTGTAGTGTAGCTACCAACAGAGAATGGTCTTGAGGATTCCTGGCCACAATTTTGAACCAAAAGGTCCAGTAGATATAGGCTGGCAAGGTTGCATTCTCGAACCATTCTCGCAGAAATTGGGAAAGCTGCGATGGCTTGTCCCAGGGAGCATTCCCGAGCAAATAGTCGACAGAGCCTTCTCCCATATTGCCTCCAAACTCGGTGATGCACATGGGAACAATGATAGATAGGTCCTCGAATGTGAGCAGTCGAACAGACACAAGAGAGCGATCCAAGTCGTCGTCATTTCTGGAAAGGGCAAATTGAAATGGCAGCGTCACATCACGACCACGCAGCGCATCCAAAACCCACGAGGGAATAATGGCCTGTGAACCTCGTCGTCGTTGTCGTCCTCTCTGTGCTAAACCAAGTCCCTCCGTTGTTTCCTTGAAGAATAATTGACAAGTAGTGGTCGGATGACTGGTAGCTCGTTCTCCCGCAAAAGATGAAATTCGGAAAGGACCGATAATGGGATCACTACTTTGCCATTTGGAAGAGGGGATCTTGACTCCACTTGGAAGCACAAAGGCGTCACATGGTACACTGATCAAGAGGAACACTGCCCAGCAAACCAACACCCAACAGGCCGGGGTCACTCCTCTCTTCATCCTCATGGACTTGCTGCTACCGTAATGGAAGAGAAACAAATGAAAAACAATTCCGCGACGTTGTTTGAAGTGGTGTTTTGCATGGAGGTGACGTCGACTGGAGTCTGTGTGCGTCGGCGGTTGACGTGGCCAACAAGCTTCCACGGTGAACTACGGTAGCGTGGAAGTTTTATTGCTGATCCGCCACGCAAGGTGGGGAATGTGGGAATGAATCCGCCTTCCAATGCAACATGCAACAGCTCATGCAACTCCGCTCAGCTTCACGTTCCGGCACACACACCGTGCTGCTGTACATGTTGCAACAAAGCGACCAAGTTCAAGGTGTCATGCAGGAAAAGAAAAGCAGGATCACTGCTTCAGTGCTAGCTAGGTACTTGGTACAGTCGTACGGTACAGCATGCAGCTGATTGACTCAACTCGACTCGGACAATGCTCTGCAGGAGTGGCTGAGTCGTGAACGGTACACAAGCTGCAACACAGCGGCCAAGCTCCTGCCGTCATGCTAGAACAAAACATCATGATCACTTCCTCATCAGTAGTACCAGTGCCAGCGAACCGTACCGGGAGGCTGACACAAACCTTTGCTCCAACTCGAAGACCTCTGAAAGAGTGACTACCAGGTAGCTATTATATCATAAAATAAATCTGCGCAGCAACAATCATCCTTTTTTTCAAAAACAAGCAAGGATTGGCAATTGCTCTGTAGGACAAACGTAAACAATGGCCCGTCTCTTTACATCCCACGACAAGTACCATGTTCATAAGGTCCTTGGATTCCTGGTCCTGTTGAGCTATCTGTACAGACTCTTTTGTCTCCTTCGCTTTGGAACGGCCTTTCCGGATTTTGAAACCGTATGGTTTGCAAGTTCGAGTGTAGCCATTCATGGATTGCTCTCCTGGTCCTCTCTGTTACTGCCACTGCCGGCCACTCGAAACTTTTCATCCCCAATGATTTGGCCGGAATTTCGACTTCACAGCATTACCTTTGCCACCCGTCATGTTCTTGTTACCATTCTCACACTCCATGGCTTGTGGCCCAACCAGAATGTCTGGACGCATGCTCTGGCGCGAGCTGTCATTCTTCTTGGGACCATCCAGGTAGCATCCATGATTACGGACAAATGGGGAGACCGAGAACAACGAACCACCAACAGCATGGTTTATCCCAGTACGATTTCCCCTCAACAACAAGCCCAAATCAAAGCAGCATATTCCAGAGCTCAATTCTCCGCAACATTGGCTTGCCTCTTACCGGATGCCACTCAAACATTTGCACCTCTATTGGCCATACAAATGTCCCCATTGCTAATGACATTGGTCCGAAAGGGGAAAATCAATAGTTTGACATATCATCGAGTCTATGCCACTTCGTTGATGATTGGGTACCTCATGGTTTTGGTCCGGACACTTGATGATTCCAAGTTGGCAGCAATAAGCAGGGTGATCATGTTCCTGCCAACACCGTATTTGCGCAAGCACATGACGGCAATGAAGCTGGGGATAGTGCAAGTCCTGTTTGCCATTGTGTTTTGTCCCTTGGTTGTCTTTCCATTCTTGGAGCGCTTTGGGCTACCTATTGGTGATGAGCATGGCATTGCCAGTAGCTATGATCTCGTCATTCATCGATTGGTTTGGGTTGCCATTATAGTCACCACAGCCAGGCAGCTCGAACTATACTCACCTCTATTCAAAACAACAGCAAAAGAGGAATCAGAAGACCGACAACTCTCCACTTTTCCATCCAAGCCATCAAGTGCAAGCACCTTGGATGCAGTGGGTATTTACCTTCCTGTAGCAGCAGTTTTGTATACCATGGCCCCACAAATGATGACGACAATGGGAGGGCTTGTGGAGGTGTCTCGAGCATTTTAATAAAAGTAGAGTGTTATAGGCAGTGTGCTTGCTGCCTTAATAAATCACTTAGAGATACAAACTGTGTGAAAAGACTTGCCTGAACACTTGCCAGTCAGTGTCACGATAGCTCCTATCTAGCTAGCTAGCTAGCTAGATAGGCTTGGGTTGCGAGAACTGCATCTTCAGGTGACAAGCTACCCGTACATCACAGTTGGGCAGAAACTCAAACCACCATGCAGCATCCAATCATCAATCCGCTCTGCAAACTAATTTCACGATGGTTAACGTCGGCATTGATGCGTTGAGAGACAGCCAAGAGCTCTATGTGCCACGCTCTATTGCATCGCCAAATCTAAGAATCTTAGAACGGTGTCAGGGCTGCCTCGGACGAGATCTTTCAACGGATTCAGCCCTCATTTTTCAGCCGTTGCCGCAAGTTGTTGGTGCAGAACCACCAAGGAACTATCTTCCCAACACAAGCAACAGTACCGTAGTACCAATTCAAAAGACCATGACTAATTATCGTTTTTGGGATCATGAACCTGCCAAGTTTGTGGCGGCCTATATTATCTCTGGTCTCCTTGCCATTCTGATTCCAGGAATCAACCATGCCAAATCGGTGAAACGATACCAGAATTCGTACTACTACCAATACAACAACCAGTACGACGACCAGGACCAAAATGGCAGTGGTGATCGTCAGTGGACGGATATTAACAACTGCAAATGGTGGAAGTTTGGATGCACCTCCCAATGGGTCAATGAAAATGGGGAATACCGTGACAACAACAACAACAACAACAACAATAACGGCGAAAACAACGGCAACTACTATACAGTCCCTTCGTGGTTTTCTGGATGGAACGGCAACGCCTACGTCAGCGGGGACAGCCAAGATGGCAGTAGCGCCAATTCTGGAGCAATCAAGTTTGTCTACACGTGGGAGTTGCTCATGTTCTTGGGATTGCTGGCGTATGGAGGCATGGTCTTGTTCAAGTTCAGGGGTCCACTGGCACAATCTCGCATGGCCTTGTGGTCCCTCTTTGTCTTGATCTTTGTATGGGCCAACTTTGCCTTTATGACCATGTGGCTCGTGGCAAACGGATCCATCTACACGGACGGAAGAGAGATGGAAGAAGTTGGAGGCTTCTACAATCAGTTTAGTGTTTTGCTCTTTGTGACTAACTTTTGGTATTTGATGTGGTCCATTTGTTTTTGCATTGCTTTGGGGGTCAGAATCTTCCGAAAGGCAGGAGAAGAAGTTATCAATGAAACCAAAAAGCCCGGCGATAGCATGAACTATTTGCCGTACTCTGAACCCAGTGTCACTGCCACCGGCGTCAGCACCCTATCACTTCCACTATCTTCGACAGGGGCACCAGCACCAGCACCAGCACCCAAGAGCTCGTGGTGGTAACCAAGAGGAAATCTACAGGACACAGTGTGCTACCGGATTGAATCGATGTTCTAAAGATGGTTGACAGTTCTTGTTATTAATGTTGTGACCAACGCAGCGTTTCCAGCTAAATACCATTTCGTTGCTGGTCTCCCTTCAAGGCAGTACGTGTGCAGTTCCCATACTTCTACTACTAGTAATAGACTTGTATTCATATTCTTAGTTTTCTTCCAATTACATCACACTCCACACGTCATCAGACGCTGGCAGCAATCGAGCACTGTTGCCAACAAGCTACCTTTACGTTTGATGAGAAAACCGACAGTTGTCCCCAAACCTGCAATTACCTTGCGCAAAAAACTTGCACGGCGGAGGGGCACCTCTGCCACCACCCCTGCCACCACGACCACCAGAGTTACCTCCAAAGCCCCTGCCGCCGCCACCACCACCCCTGCCGCCATAACCGGATTGGTTGTTGTTTCCGGAGAAAGGAGACGGGTTGGAATTGCCGCCACCGCCCCCACCAAACGGATTCTGCGAACCGCCAAATGCACCAAACGGAGACGAGTTGTTGCTTGGTTGTCCGCTGGACTGACCACCGAATGGCGCTGCTGCTGCATCTGCAGGTGCACCAAACGGACTTGACCCAAACCCTTGTGTCTGTTGACCACCAAAGCCACCACCAGATGAACCGAAAGCAGGAGCAGGCGCCGAAGCACCAAAGGCAGGAGCTGGAGCCCCGAACGCACCAGACGGCGCAGGCGCCCCAAATGGGGATGGATTGGACGACCCAAACATACCCCCGCCAGAGGGAGCCGGAGTACTGCCGAACATCCCACCTGAAGGAGCAGGAGCTGGTGCTCCAAAGGGTGACGGATTTGCGAATGGAGAAGGAGCGGGAGCTCCAAAAGGTGACGGGTTCCCAAAGGCATTTGAATTCGGCTCATCTTGCATTGACATACCACCCGCGTCGCCCATAGCAGAAGTCGCCCCGCCTCCAAATGGCGAAGGATTGCCACTTGGCTGTCCACCGAATGGAGTAGAAGTACTCATTCCCCCACCATCACCACCGAATGGCGAGGGGTTGCTACTCGGAGCATTGCCAGCTCCTCCACCAAAGGGAGAAGGGTTGGTGCTGGCTCCACCACCGAAAGGCGCGGGATTGCCACTTGGAGCATTGCCGGGTCCTCCACCAAAGGAAGAAGGATTGCCACCAGGAGCATTGCCGGACCCACCTCCAAATGGCGCGGCGTTACTACTTGGCGCATTGCTTGACCCGCCGCCGAAAGGATTGGAAGCTGCTGGAGTATCACCGCCACCAAAGGGATTGGAAGCTGCTGGAGCCTTTGACGAGTTGCCGCCAGCACCACCACCACCAAAGGGATTGGAAGCAGATTGCGATGCCGCTGCGCTGGAGCCAAAACCCCCCGAGCTTGTTGTTGCTGCTGACACGACATTCGCACCACTATTTCCACCGCTGTAGTACAATTCTCCCAACGCTTTCGCCGGCAGATTGTTTTTGAATCCGTCAAATCCATCCTTGACCGTTTTCTTGAGACGAATGGCACTCGGTGCCCCATCCGAGCTCTCATCGAGACGGGTGCAAATGTCATTGGTAATGACATCCAATTGTTTTTTGAAATGCTCTGGATGCGCCGTGGCGAGCATATGACCCGCATTTGTGAGGAACGCGTCCAATACGGAAGCGGTCGTGAGCGGCAAGGGAGATTGTGGTGCCGGAGGGAGCATGCGAAGGAATCGACTCAACCAGTCGACGGCTCCCTTGTGGCCTCCCATGAGCCCATGAGTGGGTGGATTGGAAGCAAATATATTTGCCACAAACGCAATGATTCCTTCTTGCCGTGTTAGGAAACGGGCAAACGTTTCGTATTCTCCCTTCTTGTCTTTTTGCATTCCTAGACTCTCCATGAGTGCATCTTCACTGGAATCCGCCGCAGGGCTCGGTAGCTTTGGAATGGCCATTGGGCAAACGGTGTAAATGTGCGCCGCCAAAATGGGAATCAATTCTTTGTTTTCGAGCGATACCAAAGCCAACATGTTGGCCATCGGGAAGCCATCTCCTCGTACACTGTGGATTGATTAAATTGATTGATCGACACAGAGAAATGCGATCAGATAGATTAGTGAGACATACAAAACATACATATAAACACCATGACAGACCATCATCTTTCCTTTCATACGTACCCATTAAATCCCTCGGCTTGTACTCGGACCATGATACTACTGGCTAGTAGATCGACCAAATATCGTTTTCCCCGTGTCATTTCCGGAGGGATCTGTGTATTGCCCGCTTGAATTTGTTTCTTGCATTCTTCATCTTCGGCGCGTGCGGCGGCAATGGCCACACCGACATCGGCTGCGACCGATTTGATCTTTTCGGCATTCTCGGCCAATGTATTGACTTTACCACGCACGACCTTTTTCATATTGAGCCGTCGTTTTCCGACGGCCTTGCTCTTTTCAAATGGTTCAATGGACGCCCGTAGTTGTGTCAATTGCGCTACGAGTTTCTTGGCCTTGTCAATGTGTTCTGTTTTGGCAGCCTCTTTTTGTTGTTTGACGCGTATCCGTTCGGCTGTACGCTCCGCCTCGTCGGCTTCTTCTTTTTGGACACGTTCCTTTTCAGCAGTTTCTTGTTCTTGTTTGACTCGAAGTCTTGCAGTTTCCGCTTCTTCGGCTTCCTTGACCTTTTGGATACGGGCCGTTTCCGCTTCTTCTTCGGCTCTGGCTTGTTGTTCCGCGTGTCGAATCATTTTGGACGCATTGGATTGATTTTGGTGTAGCAATTGTTTCAAAGCAGTCGCGGCTTCGAGTTGTTCTTTTTGCATGCGCCGCTTTTCTTCTTTCATTTTGGCTTGTATTTTGTGTGCCGTGGCCGCTAGAATCTGGAGTGGAGTTGTCGGGTCTTTTGCGGGGACCACCGTCATGGCTTGTACTTTGGCCGTGTCGACCATACTGGCGGCTGCCAATAACTGTGTGATTTGGTCCATTTCTCGATCCGTTTCTTGTCGAATGTATTGTTTTCGGGTTTGCTGGGCATCGTAGCGCAGCAAAGACCACGTGGGTGCTGTCTTGGGGTCAATATAAGAGGTCTTTAAGGGAGGATAGGATTGATGATGATATTGATGCTGATAGTAGTAGCTTTTGTTTTTGTGATTGTTTTCTCCCCATTCTTCGGCAATTACTTCGGCCGATTCTGCAGACGGGTCCAAACAATAGCGTGTGCGTCCCCAAGAAGGATGCGCCGTGGCAGGAAATCCCACTGGATGTGGATATTCCTCCTCTTCTGCCTGTAATAGAATGGCATCGTCCTCGTCGGAATCGCTGTAGCGGCAATCGTCTTCCGATGTCACCGTGTAGGCATCATCATCTTCCTCACTGCTGCTGTCTTCCTCCACAAATCGATAGCGCCCTTGTTCCCATTCCTCGGGTTCTGGTGACAGACTCAACCGTGTCATTGTCGATCTTATTATTGATTGTGATGTGGAGGAGGAGTGTTGTATTGCTTGCTTGCTTGCTTTGTGGTATGACAACGGATGCGATGTATGCTCTGGATCACCTCAAACGTGCCACTGCAGCAATTCCAAAGATGGCCTCTCCCACGTCTCTGTTGTCGTTGACGTTCAATCAAGTCAAGCCATGCAACTGTACTGTCGGTTGCTCTGTCGCCTTTGCCAATGGTGATTGCTTGCTTTGCGCTTCTTTGCTTTCGAAAATGGACAGACTTGCCCAAGCGTGAAAACTCGGGAAGGTCCAAGTTGCATTTGACAGCTCAACAAGCTTGTGGACATCAACTGGGATTACTACTAGCTAGAGTAGACTACCATAGCTTGAGATCAGCTTGATGAGGCGGGGTCCTAACCATCGATTGTGACCTCTTTATTCCTCCCTTCGTTCGTGAAATCAATTTAACTGTTAAAATCGGCCTGCTTTCACTCCATTTCCACGAAAGCTGCGGTACGGCGAACCATTGATTTCCCATTCTCAATTCGCCGTACCGCAGCTTTCGTGGAAATGGATTTCGCTTACAGCCAGCCGAGCTTCCGAAAACGTCAGTCGTCAGTCACCCAACGAATCCTGGTTGATCCACATCAATCCTGGTGGATCCACATGCACGAGGATAACCCACGAGATTCTATCAAAGAACAATCATATGCGATTTTCACGAGTTTTCCTGACGTACGGTGATTGCGTTTTGGCAGAATCTGGTGCGAACGTGCGAACCACTGTATGTGGATAGGAATGAAATCTTGATTCGTACAACTAAATAAATCGACGAAAATAAATGTGTTTCGCGAATGCACGGAGGACACACATGGAGAATGGATAGGACCTCGCCTGAGAAAAGGTCCAGGAGGATGGGGATGATGACACGAAAGTCTCTGTGTTAAATAATTTTTAAAAAACTCTTGTTTCAAATTCGTATTTAAATTCGTGTTTCATTCGTGTTTCATTCGTGTTTCGAATTGGTGTTATTTCGTGTTAATTCGTATTAATTCGTATTAATTTCGTATTAAATCGTGTTACTTCGTGAACGGTTAGTTAACGGTTCGTTAACGTTTTGTTCCCAATAAGGTGTTTTCTCTCTTTTAAAGCCTTTTTGTTTAAAATATCTCCATTTGTTCCGAAGTTTCTAGTAAATTAACTAAAAAATGTTTTTTTCCTGATTCGGGAATAGAATGTGAATTTCTCGGAAATAGCTCGTTTTATTTTGTAAAAAAACCTTTTATTTCGTGAAACCTTGTTTTATTTCGTTTTGAATTTTATTTCGTGTTAAATTCGTGAAATGTTCATTTTAGCAAAATTCGTTTCAAGATTTAACACGATTCTTTTTCGTGTCATCATCCCCATCCTCCAGAACCACCGCTTACTTTCACATGGAAGATAGGTAGTTACGGAATTGGTCTGTTCAAGCCGACATGGCTTTTTTGTAGATTTAAGTAGCATACCCGTCCAACGTCACAAAAACCTGAAGAATTCGATCGAATTTAGCGAGCATTCCTACATCATTACCAGTACAGAAATATACATGCTACCCGTCCAATTGAGTTTTCCATACAAATTTTCTGGGTGTCATGAAGGCTTCTCCGTGGTATAGAATGTGCTAACGCTCCCTGTCAAACAGAGGGAAAATCGCGACTGCAACACTTCCCACCACTCTCCAACCAACAGCAAGAGGCGATGTTGTTGATGCAGACTTACTGCCAAGGGCACAATGCAGCAGCTTATTGCATTACATTGACTCTAATTGTTGCGGCTTGGGTGGTTAGCTTTTCTCTGACTGCTACAGCTCTTCTGCGATCATCAATATGGCGCAGCTTCTCTACGGAGGACAATCCATTTTCAAGGTCATCATCAAGCGAATGAATGACTCGAACCGTTACAATGTCATTGACTTGGGAGCTGCGTCCGACAGCATGTTTCCAAGCGCTTTTATTCATCCTGGGGAATTCATCATGTTTGATGTGGAGGCAAAAGGACCGGAAGGAATCACCAGCAAGGTCGGACAAGTCATTTCCATTGAAAATTTTCGTGCCTTGCCGAGGAATGAGATCAAACACTCTACTGTTGGTAGATTCAAGGACAAACGAACTAGATTTATGCTTGTTCGTCATTTTGATGATATTGAAGAGCATGAGCTTTCCTTTGATGATGATGTCAAAGCCATCAATCCATCAGATTATTCCTTCATTCACGAGGCACAACGAGAGCTTCTGATGACATGTAACTACGAATGGTTCTTGCTTGTCGAAAAAGCAAAGTGTTTTGCCTTCATTTTTCATTCCCACCTGATTGACGAGGGTGTATTCAACACCGCTGGCATTACCAATGCATTTATGTGTAACAAGTTGGTCTTTCCAGACAACTCTGTTGCTCAACCATCTTCATACCTTGTTTTCAACAAAGATTGGCCTTATCTTCGTCCATTCTGAACATTGCCTATACGATGTCTATGACAAAAGAAGAAAGCTTGATCCATTACAGTTGAGACTTATTCTCGTCGCATGTGGAATTTCATCTCAGTTGCCAACGTGTTGACCTGCCGTCAAATTGGTGGCTCTATGAAGAAATTTGATGGACGCACGAAGTATACGCATTGTCCTGGATGGGCTCAAGAGAGCTTCGAATACTCCAAAGGAAAGATGTGTCTCATGAAACCACCAGAGCAAGAAGACTTTATCATTGATGTGTCCTCTACAAAGCGGCTAAAGAAGGTTCACAGCCCTGACTTGTCTGTGTCAAAGAAACAGAAAACCACCCACTTAATAATATGATTCGTTTCACCGAAGAGCCTGAATTGGATGAGAGCCGCCGAGTTTGGGGATGCAGTTTCGGTATGGCCATTGCCAAGGACGCTCCCACGAAGGTAACTATAGCTGCTGCTCAATCTGCACAAAAGAAAGCCTCGACCAGACACAGTTCTCTTATTGACTAATGATTTGTGCCGTGTGGTGACATGTCGAGTGGACGACAAGGATGTTGACGAGACCACCAAAGAGAGAGCCATTGCCAGTGCTGAGGTCGTGGATGACGAAGGCAACATTTTAAGAAAATCAGTTGCACACTAGACTGAAAGAGGAGCTCGCAACCTATCTATTGGTCCTATTCTGGTATGGATAATATTGTCCACGAAACCAGCCACTCTTGGAGCAACATGCATTTTGCTATGAGATTCAAGAACTTGTTTGGAGGCTCCATAACCGTCCGAAAGGCTCAAAATGGTGGCTATAATGCTCCCATCATTGCTCCTGCTCGTGAAGGAGCCATTCTCAGCAGTCGTCTTGACATTGGAGATAAGTTTGAATACAGAGATCAAAGAACCTTCTGCATCCCCTCCGTTGATTTAGTCAAAGAGACTGTTGGTGCTCGCCTTACATGGCAAGGGCCTGGTGATGACGAAACAGTAATGTCTCGTCCAACAGCGAGAATGACCCAACAGCGAGAATGGCTCCTCGGAAGTGGGGTAAATCATGGCAAATTACCCTCAGCCCCAGCTTCAGAACTCCCTTTTCTGAAGAAATCCAATTTCCATCATTACAATAGGTTGACAGATATACCCCTAGCAGTTCAACTAATAGAGCCACCCTATCAACACCATGAAATAGGGATACATAATGTGGACGTGCCTGTCGCAGTGGTGGTAGTGGCTTCTCCATTTGCTGGCCGTTGAAGCAACGAACGACTGGCAAAGTTAGGCAGCCATCTTTTGGAATTTTTTTCTACCTCCAACAGTTCGACCATTCTGTGTCCCCAATACTAGTCCCATTGAACCCATCTGGTGGATCCATTCCTTAAGGTAGATAAACCAATGAGACTGGAGTGACTAAAGTCAATGCTACTATCATAAGAACCACTAGAATAGATGCTGGAGTTGTTGCTGGCTCATGTGGGATTTGTGGTCTGTGGCTGCTACTTTTTCTATTAACTTGCTGATCCTGCTAGCTTCCAATGGTATGATCCTCCCTACTGGGCACATTAGATCAATTTGTATGATTGAGTTGATAGCAGAAGGGTGACACAGTCCGAAGTGAAGGTGAAGCTGAGAACTTGGGAGTATTCGAAAGAAAAGTGGTACATCTAGTTTTACATAAGATAATGCCTCATACATGGCAGTCACCACCACAACCAGCACATGGCGGCGACAAGCAAAGAATGTAGACAGCTCTAGACTTTAGATAGTTGGCTTGGTTGTGTAGGTGTCATCTTGGCCTGCAGCACCACATCAACTTGGGCGAAGCGGCCAAAGGCAGGCATTGGGCCGTCCCGGTACCAGGTACGTACCAGGTACCGGTAGTATCACGTAGCGGTGGTACCGTCCTCAGGTAGGATGACATCATCAGTGAGAATTCAAGAATATTCTCACTATTGGACCATCCGTAGCACCAGTGTCATAGTCATTAGTCCAGCCACGGTAGCTAGCTATTAACCTTTTAAATAGGCAAAAGGCAAAAGGATGCCATTAAGGATGTCACATCAGTTTTGAGTCATGAGTCGTTTGAAACCCACATTATCCCGAGAAAATCACGACAAAAAAAAAAAATCAATTGTGATCGCTGAAATTGGGACTACTCGTAGCTTTTCTTGTACTCAACTCTGACAGTATAGCTATCATACAGTTAAAGCTCCTAAACATTGATATTATGTAGATGCATCTGTTCCTGCCAGGTTCTGGGCACCATATCGATAGGTAGACGCAACAGCGTGCTTAAAGTCGATTTTGCGCTTTTTTGCGCTTATGGATCCGCTGTTAGCTCTAAGCCTCCTTTTGCGGCAGGTTCATGTGCATTGTCTTTCTTGTTATATCCCAAGGACTATTTATATTTGTCAAAGGCTTAACAAATGTCCTTATTACACTCAACTGATCAGTCCAATTTCTACTCATGAGCCCACCAGTGGACTCTGCCGACCAGTGGACTGGTCAGTCATGGCATGATTTGCCTCACATTTTGAAGAAACTCACTTTTGACATCACCTCATGCTGACAGATATACCCCCAGCAGTTTGACCAATAGAGTCAACCTGATAATACTTTGAGATAGGGAATGCATAATTTGGACGTGCCCGTCGCAGTGGTGGTAATGGCTTGTTCATTTGGTAGCCACAGGAGCAACGAATGGCTAGCAAAGTAGGGCTGAAAATTTCTTACCATTTCCCCCCTGAAAATGAAGCCTCTAGTTTGACATAAGATAATACCTTCTACATGGCTCAAACCACTACAACCAGCACATGGCTGTAACAAGCAAGGATTGTAGACAACTCTAGATAGTTATCTTGGGTGTGTAGGTGCTATATTGGTTGAGTTCATCATAGTTGTCTTCCCATGGCAACAGAGATGATTTTGCGTGGGAAGTCAAGAACAAACCCTGCTTTTATCACGTGGCAGCTCTGCAGATTTCGAAAGTGAACCAGTCCACTGGTCGGCTGATGAGTGGATTTCAGCGATCGAAATTGATTTACCTCGGCAGTCTTGCTGCCAGAGCCCTCAACCCCTTTAATTGTTTTTCCTGCTACGGTGGTCCCTGCAGGTATAAGTGTAGGGTTAGAATACAAATAAGTCAGCAAAAACTAAGTAAGTATCCTAGCTAGGATGGTGCAAACCAGCTAAAGCAATTTACATCCATCCTAGTAGGGGGGATCTGCTTCTACCAGGAAAAACTCTAAAGCCAGCGAAAGCTATATAACTAGTATTCTAGCTAGCTAGGGGTGTCTGCTTCTAGCTTGCTATGGGAATCTGCTTCTAGCTAGGGGGGATTTGCTTCTAGCTAGCTAAGCACAAGTTAAGCACTAGCTAAGCACTAGAGGTGTCTGCTTCTAGTTAGCTAGCTATAGGGGTATCTGCTTCTACACTGAAACCTTTCTGCCGAGGTTACACAGCTCCGCTGGCTTATTTGTTGTTGTTGTCGTGATTTTACTACCGGTAGCTAGCTTAATCAGGGCGTGACTGATATTTCGTCTCCTGGAGACGATTTGCTTTAGGGGTAATGGTACCGATGGGGGCAGAGGTTTGAATTATACCCGGCGCGCATTACTTAGAAGGCCCTGTAGAAGTCTACGTATTCGACTAGTATTGTATTGACGGGATACAGTCAACGCATGTACATGCACATGAAAGTGGCCTTGCGTTCTTCACATTTTAAAAGTTGGCTCCTAATTTTTCGGGGTCGCCTGTGATTTGATTGGACGCTTGATCTTTTTTCAATGACTGACATTGAATGACGTACGAGGTGCAATGCGAATCTCAGAAAGGTAGTTGTAGTAATAAAAGTTTTTATATACAGATTAATTTACCCTATATCCCTACCGTTTATACTTATAACAGAACCCGTCTTCTCGCTGGAACATTTCATCGTATTGATCTTCTCCTAGGACAGAAAGCCCAATAGTATCCTTAAATCTTGCAACATGCTCTCATTCGTTGTGGCATGCAAAGTTCTTTGGATCCCAATCCAGCTTCTTCAATAAGAACAAACCACTCATGGTTCGCACCCTTGATAAACCACGTAAGCCCAGTTTTGAAGTATCGCCATGAATGTACCAATCAACCACACTGCAGTATATCCCTGTAATTTGTGTCCAGTTGTCGCAGAATTGCTGATAATCGGGACTGCTTACCCTTCATCTTGGTGTGTACAACTTCTCCGTCATAAAACCATCTGGTACTGAAAGTGTAGTCTTGCTCCGTTACATAAAAAGTACGTGGCATAATAGTCTCCATTCATGTTCCACAAGGATAAATTTGACTTGACCTGGAAAAAAGCCGATCTTGCATGTCGAGTTGAAATCATGTGCAACCATGACATTCACCTTTCCCACAAAAAGCCGAGATCCATTGGCTTCTCCATTCGGAACATTCGTTTCAACCGGAATCTTAAACAGCGTTGCCCCATTCAGGATCGTCTTTGAAGCGATGCATTCCATCTAACTCAATAAATGAATGCAGAGAGTCATGAAATTCAGGAATGGTGTGCTGAAGATTGTAATTGGGGGGCGTCCCACTGGTTCAAGTTGAGAGTAGTCCCCCGCGAACACCAATTTAAGTCCCCCAAATGGTAGGTATTCGTCTTGCATCAAGGTCTTAGTGTAGTGGAATATCTTCACTAAGTCAGGTTCCCCCGCGAATGAAATTTCGACGATGATAAGCATCCGTGCGTCACTCCATTCTTCTACCAAGTTCTTCGCCACACTTTCCCGAGTTCTGTTCAATCCACAGCTGAATGCGTTGTTCCCCCATGTAGTATTGTAGCAGCAACCCCCGACATTGCAGTGACAACAATGGTTCGGTCGTTAAATGGATGATCAATCAAACTGCAGAACTCTTTGCCATAGGCCATGACTAAGTCCATTACGGTAGTATTCCCACTTCCTCCAGGCCCATGGAGAAGAAGAATCAGTTGGGTGACACGACTTCCCTTCAAAATCAAAAAGTTTTTAC